CAAACTTTCCACGGCGCGTAAAGGTTTGTAAAGGTAAATTTACGCGCTCGGCTCTTAAAGGTTTCGTAAAGCTAGCATAAAGTTGTTGTAACAGCTTTACGCTCATTTACGTTACAAGTAAAGGTTTAGTAAGGTTGTCATATAATGCTAGCTTAATTCCTAACAGCAATTTATTCCCGGCACTGTTTTTAGTAAGTCGTTTGTGTCCTGATACTAGTTCGCATAGTTTTTTGGATCACTCATTTGGTGTTCGATGTTGGTGTGCGATGTAAACAAGCCAACCACGCAATTTTTTTTTGGTGGTGCAAACGACTTCGTACACGCTTAAAAATGACGCTGAAAAGAAAATTCTGCTGGCAGAGTTCATGCAAAGATATAGCTTGCGACTGTGCGGCAATTTTCGAAAAACGGCATATCTGTCGCGGCAAATACAATAGCCTTCAATACTCAGTAGTATTCCCTCATTGATTTCAGTCAGTATAAGGTGTTTCTTCCTTAACGGTCACCTCTCTACACGGGCCATTTTTGTTTTGTTGTTGTTTTTTTTTCGGCGGACGGTCCATACATGACATACATTTACTCTTCTTTCAACCTCTCTACTATGGTCACTTTCTTCGATGTCCCTAAGGTGGCCGTTGTAGAGAGTTTCAACTGTAATTTGATCAAATTGAAATAATTGGAAAATAAAGAAAAAATATCGCCTCGCAAAAACGGCGAGTCTTACTGAAAGAAAGAACACATTACTTAAAGAGAAAGAACGCATTCACAAATTACTGAGACCATTTTACATTCAACGGAGTACTGGCTTCATCGTTGAACCTCCTTTATCGCTTCCTTATTTTAAGTCCGCAGACTTCAGGAGGGGGACATGGGGGTTTGCGGTATTGGGCTTTTTTTCATGCGGTATCTCGGTAATTTTAATTTTAACGTGCGGTATTGCGGTATCTTCTAGCTCTGCGGTATGCGGTTTTTCATCATTTTGGCTGACGGTATTGGGTGAAATAAGATTGTTCACGGTATTACGGTACCGTTTATTTGCGCTTTCCTTTCGATACAATACGCAAAACAAAACACAGTAAGACATAAAGGTCAATAAAAGTTAATATTTAGAAGTCTTGAGACATAACGGTAAATGATTACACCATTTGTGGATCATTTTGTGACAGTTAATGGTCGATAATATGAAATGTGATTGTTGTTGCATCCAATGATAATGAGTCGTCTCAAGTTACCTTACCAGGCTTGTCGATCTGTGTATCTGTGCCGGTAATTCGAGGTCTTAAACGTTTTCTCACAATGTCTGAGGTCGCTGAGGTTGAAGACGGCGTGGTCATCATTGACTGTGTGGCAATTTTGTATGAAGAGGGCGAAGGAGGCGAACATTATCGCAACAAGAATAAGTTTAGATGTTGGGTTTCGAGAATTTAAAAACGCCTTGTAAAGTTAAAAGCGAAAATTTGGTAAGTTTGCCTCTTAACAGCGCGGCGTCATCCTCGGAGACCCAGGGGCAGATAAAGGGGCGAGGGAAAGTCTAAACGAGAGGAAAAATATATATGGAACGAAGAAAAGTAAAGAACGGAGAGAGAAGAGCCCCTGGCCGGCGCGATCCATTAACCCAAAATTCCAACCGGTCCGACCGGGAAAAGTGGACCACCTCAAAAGGTGGACCCGTTTATTCGAAACTTTTCCGGTTGGACCGAACCGATCCATTGAGTTTTGGACCGAAATTTCCGGAAATTTTGGTTGAATGGATCGCGCCCATTGTCTTACCAGACCAGTTCCAAACGGTCGCCGCCGTTCTGGCTTCTGATTGGTGCCAGAAAACTTGTGTTTTTCTGGCACCAATCAGAAGCCAAAACGGCGGCGACCGTTTGGAACTGGTCTGGTAAGACATTGTCCCCAGGGGCTCTTCTCGCCGTTCTTTACTTTTCTTCGTTCCATATACAAATTAGACAATGTCAATCATTGAACATTTTTAAAGTTTTACTAAAGACACATCTTTTTAAATTAGCTTTTTATTAGTTCTTTTATTAACTCATATTTTACTTTTTATTGTTTTCCGAAAATTGTAAATTATTATTATTATCATCATTATTTGGATTAGCCATTAATTACTTTAGGATTTTAGTGTTGTAATGCGCATTCGATCATATCTTTAGCGCATGCTAGACTGCGCAATATAAGAAATAAACATTACTATTATTTATTATATATTTTTCCGCCCGTTTAGACTTTCCCTCGTCCCCACTATCTGCCCCTGGGTCTCCGGGTGGCGCGGCGTGTGATCTGACCCCTGAGAGACTGACGTGCTAAACTAGACTCACTTTATATCAAAACTCGCACTAGACGTGCGTGGAAAGGGTTTTGGTTGGTTTGTTTTTCGCGCTTTCAAGAGTTATTTTTATTGGAGTTAAGTAGCTGTTGGGTCGAAATGCCAAAAGGCTGAACGAATGTAGTTTACTTTTCAGTGAAAATTTGCGGAAAATTGCGAACTACCAAAATATTAAAAAAAAACATGGACATCTGGTGCATAAATGCCTGAGATAATTAAACGCGCTAGATGTAAGCAACCATAAGTATGCGCAACCGATTATAAATGTGATTAAAATATACGGTATCGGTATTTAGACGATTTTCGACGCGGTATTTCGGTATTTGCCATTTTTTCTTACGGTCTTGCGGTATTAGGTACCCCCCAATGTCCCCCTCCTTCAGGTTTGGGAACGGACAATTTGTTAAAAGAAAGGGGCCTGGAAACAATAGAGTGAAGGGACACCTGGTCAGCGGGCTTGTTCCTTTGCACATGCTCAATCAGGTTCGTTGATTTGGCGTCCATTTTGAAAGTGTCCAACTAGTGGGGCAGATATGTGCAGATTTGGGGCCGAATTGTTCACTTTCTGTTAAAAGCACCAAATTTTCAGGAAATATAGCAAAAAACATGGGGATTAATATGTGATATGGTGCCATCGCAATTATTCCTGTTAAACCGGTTTTTTGGACCGATTTCTTATATGGCCGCCATTTTGACCGGAAGTAGTGAAGCACCTAACCGGAAGTACATGAAAAAGCGGATATTTAGACAAAAATGATGATGAAATAGTTTAAACTGTGTTTTTCCCGATGTTTTTATTTGTATAAAATATTCAAATGTGTATAAATATTGTTTTTTAAGGGGAAAAACAGGAGTAAAAGCAATATTAACTGAAAGTTTAAAAAGCAAATAGAGAATACTTCATGGAAAGTGCTGGCGTACGGTATTTACGCACGAGTTGTTGACGTATCAGAAATCGAACGAGTGAGCGCAGCGAACGAGTAAGATTTCTGATACAAAAACAACGAGTGCGTAAATACCGTACAAAGTACTTTCCATGTGGTATTGTGTTTATTATATACATACTGAGTCATTCATCATTTTGCAGGCCTTTTTATTTTAAATCTTTCAAAAATGCTAAAATTTGCCGCTACACACTTACCGCAAAATGACAACGAAAACGAAGTATCAGCTTTTTAGTAAAAAACGTTTGTTAAAAACATAAATGACGGTGAGGATATGAGGTTTAATCCAAGAACTATAAGTAATCTTAACTGTTTGTTCTCAATGCACAATTGAAAATGAGTGAATTTAAGTAAAATGGCCGGTTTCAATGTAAGCTTAAGCTTAAATGAAAGGCAAAGTAGCTCCGACAAAAAGCACAACAAAAGCTTACGTCTCGTTCTGTTTATCCCTTTCCGCTGTCGTTTCGCCGGCTCTCTACCGTATTTTTTTATCGACAGTGAAACAAACGAAACTATTCCACTCCATTTCCGAAATGTTTTTCACTTTTTTAGCGAGAAAAACTCCTTGAGTAAAACTTTTCTCGTTGATAAATGTGTGCGAAGCGGCGCTGCAAGCTGCAATAAAAGGCGGGAATTTTGGCGCGAAACTCGCACACCTCTGTGGCTTCTGATTGGACGTATCATTTTTCTCACACGTGAAAAAACATCGTTCGCGATTCTGATTGGACGTATCGTTTTTTTCACGTGTGAAAACCATCGTTCGCTCCTCTGATTGGCTAGAACTAATTTGCGTACGAAAATTTACGACATAGCTTTTTGGTGAGTATTTCTCAGTATGTATATAATAATTCTTTATACAGAATGTAATAATATCACAATTCATATTTTTTGAAAACAATGAAGGAATAGATATATAAAAAGTGAATACCATCCGGAATCCCATTTACCATATTTCCTTTGCCACGATTCCTAATAGTAACCACAATGCTTTGCGTCGAAACTAATTTGCATATCAGCTCCGCCATTTTGTTTCATCTAAGTGGATATCTCGTTGTGCTTGTACTAATTCGAATAAATCGCTTTTGCCGTAACATCTGATAATTTGACAATTATACAAAATAAGTTACCTTTATCAAAGTTCGGAAAAAACAAACCAAAAGTGAAGTAAACGCCGACCTAGCTCCTCTAGGTGAGCTGTAAGTATCAGGCATCAAGAACAGCTAGATCGATGCTTCATTCCAGGAGTGGGGAAGTGGCAATTAGATGATAAATTTATGTTCCAAAGACAACAGAGGAAAGGTTAAACTGAAGCTAGAGGATTCTTGCTGAACAACTTGAGCGTTCTCTGTTGCACGGAGTCATGGAATAGAAGCCCTTATCAACTGTAAGTATTGAGAACAATTAGAGTACGTTTACACTGGAGTACGTTTTCCGTATTCATGCGTCCCCATATCACAGTTCTTATGTATTTAACGTATGTTTAGCGCATCAGTTACCGTAATCCAAAAATATTCAATTCAGAATTGGATACGTGTTACCTTTTTTTCATAACGAATACACCACCAAACCAGGGACTTTAGCATTAAAGTTCCAGATTTGTAAGGAATGTTAAATCAGACTTACTACAGATAAACTTTTAACTCTTTAGATACAAGTACTTTTAAAGTGGCGAAACGATTAGTTTTATCTAATTTAAATAACTTTATTTTGTTTCAAACAGCCTCATGGATGACTGCAATCGTAATGTGACCGATTGGGAGCTCTGCGTTATCTGCCAAGAATCAAACAAGGAAGGACTTCAGTGCCCCGCGGACTCAAGGCGAGCAGATAAAGGTGCAGGCTATAAAACACTTGCAGACAATTTGAAACAGTTTGCTGATCTGGGTTACATGCCCAAGGACGTAAATTTATCGCGACTAGATGAAGGCGACGGCATTGCGGCTGCATTCTTCAAACATAGGGCCCGCTATCACAAAAGTTGCTATGCTCTTTTTAACTCGACAAAACTGAAAAGAGCCCAAAAAAGAAAATCTGAAGCCCCAGACGAGCCGCCAGCTGGCGGAAAGTTTACTCGCTCAAATGCATTGGCATACGCAAAGGACACTAGTCCATCTTGTTTTTTATGCGAATCTGATAAACAACCACTTCATAGGGTTTCGACCCTTAGTCTCGATGCTAGAGTTCGGGAATGCGCAAATGTACTGAATGACGAAAAGTTGTTAGCTAAGCTTGGTGGCGAGGATTTGATCGCTCTTGAGGCGAGCTACCACGCCTCTTGTCTATCTATGCTGTACAGGAGTACAGAATATGCAAAAAGAGATGCCGTGCGAGGAGATGAAAAGCCACATCGTCTAGAAGGTATTGCCATGGCGGATCTCGTGATGTTTATAGAGGAGTCGCGCACGAATAGCGGGGGAGAGCTACCTACATTTAAGCTAGCAGACCTAGCGAAGATGTATACCAATCGCCTGCAGCAGCTAGGGATGGAGAACACCGCAAGACCAAACAGTTCACGCCTTAAAGAACGTATAATTGCTCAGGTTCCTGACCTCCAACCTTACAATAAGGGACGCGATGTATATTTGGCATTTGGAGAGGACGTTGGGAATGCACTTCAAAAGGTCCATAAAGAAGATTCTGATGATGAGGCCATACACCTTGCGAAGGCAGCTGCGATTGTCCGTAAAGACATACTTACAAATAAGTATTCATTTAATGGGTCCTTCGAACGAGACTGTCAACTGCGTTCTATCCCAGCATCCTTGTTATCCTTTGTTAACATGATCCTGTATGGTCCAAATATCAACGCTGAAGAGGGTAGTTTTTCAAAAGGGCAGGCTGCTCTTACCATCGCACAGCTAGTACAGTACAATACTTATCTCCGTCGCCGTGAAGGAGATGTTAAGAAGGAAAGGCGAAATAAATCTCGAGAGTCTCCAGTTCCAATCTATGTTGGAGTATCTGTACATGCCAAGACACGCTGCCGTGACCTCGTAGAAATCTTACATAAACTTGGAATCTCTATTTCATATGACAGGGTATTGAGCACCTCCACGGATCTTGGAAATGAAGTGTGTCGCCGCTACTGGCAAGAAGGTGCAGTGTGTCCGTCTAATCTTCGTCTGGGTCTCTTTACAACAGCTGCCGTGGACAATATTGATCATAATCCGAGCTCAACAACATCAAAAGACTCCTTCCACGGCACAGGCATTTCTTTGTTCCAGCATCCATCGGCAGTTACGCCTGGTACTGAACAAGCACCGATAAATATCGCAACAAATGCTGATAGCGAGAAATCGATAAAAGAACTGCCAGCGTCATACACAGAAGTCATTCCGGTACAAGAAACTACAAGTAAAGCCCAGCCTCCAGCCAACGTATCAGAGATGAAGTCGGATGAAAGCTCATTTAATCGCGGCTTTGAAGATGAATCCACATGATTAGAGAAGGCTAGCACTATTGTGGTTAACCAAGAAAGTTTGGAAGAGAAAACTCAAGTCTCTTGGGCTGCATTTCACTCTCACCAACCGTACTGTGTGCCTCCTTCGTCGGTTGCTGTTTCTGCTCTGTTGCCACTTTTTCCTGATCAGGCAAAATCGGTTGCAATGATAAGACATGCCATGAACGTGATAAAACTGTCCGTAGATCATCTGAATCCAGGTCAAGTCCCAGTCATTGCCGTAGATCAGCCATTATATGCTGTAGCGAAAGAAATCCAGTGGAGATGGGCTAGTCATTACGGCGAGGATAAAGTGGAGTATTCGGTGGACTCCACATCGAGATGGCGTTGATGGCGTTTCTGAAGGTGCTAGGAGATTGGCTTGAGGGAAGTGGGTGGACAGTGCTCCTTTCAGATGCAAACGTTGCTACGCCAGGAACTGCTAATTCGTTTCTCAAGGCCACAAATGTAACGCGCACTCGAAGGGCTCATCAGGTGACAGCATGCTCCTTATTTATGCTTCTAAAGAGAGCGTATCAGAGGTAAATATATCACTTCAATGATAAAACTGGTGGGAAAATCTTAATGTTTTTAGTTATAGCTGAGCTGCACATTGCTGCTTTAACTAGCTTTACAAACACTTCACTCAAATCTCAACAAGGTTAAGGATCTTAACTTTCGGGGACGTAATCCAGCTGGCTAAAGGTAGAACGTGGAACAACTGCATTCTGTCCTCGAGACTCTACAAAAGAAGCACCGAAAACAGCCAACAGATATATTAGTTAATATCGAGTTTTGATATGAGCGCGATAAGCAACCCCCTTGCGGCTCTGTATAAAATTTCTTACATGCATGGCTGATGGCAATAAAAAGGGGTGGATTTTTTTATCCCTGTATTGCCGTTTAAGGCTTTAAAATAAGGATAATTATGTTATCAATGGATTGTTACATCGTAAAACTTATTAGTAAAATGTTTCACTTGTGATAGGTACGTAGATGGAATGGGTAATGGTGCCCTTTCCTTTGACGAGTGGTGTAACCATCAGAGACGTAAAGTACCTCAGTTTCAGTACTGGCATACAGCCCTTCAACTGGAGCTTCTTCTCCTTGTTTTTCTAAAGTCGCTCCGCCTTGCTGACTTTGGCATGTACGTAGATGCAGTTTACAAGATGCTTCCGTGGTTCTTTGCTTTAAACCATACCAACTATGCCCGTTGGCTCCCTATACATGTACGCGATATGCGCGAACTCGACAGTAAGGCACCAGCAGTAGCAGAGGCATTCAAGCAGGGTTTGTTCACCGTCACAAAAACCCGTCGAAGATTTTCTTGTATAGCTATTGATCAGGCCCACGAGCAGAACAATGCTATGGTCAAGGATGACGGAGGGGCTGTGGGTCTGACAGAGAATGCCAGCGCACTTCGCAGGTGGATGCTATCCGGTCCTGAGATGGCACGGCTAGTCAACGAGTTCGAGGCATGCATGGCACCTGAAGTTAGACCTGAAACAAACAACCATCATGAAGCTGAGAGGGGTTATCAAGCAGCGTACCACAAAGATGTCAGGTCACTCGTGGATGTACTTGACGACCTTGGGAACCCTTTTGAAAAAGAGGGCAAAGACCTGATCGTGTTAGATACAAAGGTGGTGGCAGACGAAGGAGGGGTATCAAGAATGCAGCAAATAGAGGATCTTGGCGTAAAGCAGTGTGACACGTTCATTTCAGAGCGCCTAATACAGCGGACGAAGCCTCTCGATGACCCTATTAGTAGAAACAAGCTCTCCTTCTTTGAAACTCCTTCCAAGAAGAAAATTTCAAAGGCTCAACAGCAGCTTTCCTCTATGAAAAGCGACTGTTTATTGCATGCCAGAGCAGAAATGGTAACTTGGATGAATTTTTTAAACATGAAAATCAAGCATGCCCCCCATCGATATCTGATCAAGGAAATTTGCGCCTCCCTCGACAAAAGTCTGAGTTAGCCTCTTGTCTTCAAGCTCTAACTACTCCCAAGAATGCAGCCCCAGCCAATTGTGAAGTCATTATTATGGACGGAGCAGCACTGGTAAACATGCTTAAGCCCACGGGGAAAGAGAAAACATTTTCCGAATATGCCTCAAATAAGTTTATTCCTTATGTCACCGCTCAGCTTCAACATGTGAAACGCATTGATATTGTCTGGGACGAATACGTGGAGAACAGCTTGAAAGCAACAACTCGGAGCAAACGTGGATCAGGAGTACGACAACTAGTCGCAGCTAATAATAAGCTTCCAAGAAACTGGAAAGAATTCCTTCGTGAAGATCGGAACAAGCAGGAGCTCTTTAGATTCCTTGCGCAATGCGCTACTTCTGTTAACTCGGGTCAGAGACAGATCATCTCTACGTATGCAAGAGGCGTACTGACGAGCCTTCCACGAGATGACACCTCCAGCCTGGCACCATCCTCACATGAAGAAGCCGACACAAGAATGTTTATCCATGCTGCTGATGCTATCCAATCCGGCTTCACCAAGATCATTGTTCGTAGTGTTGATACTGATGTCTTAGTACTGGCCGTGGCTCTGGTACAGAAGTTACAGGCGCTTGCTTCAGAGAGCATCCAACTCTGGGTGGCATTTGGTACTGGGGAACATCTTCGCTACCTTGCAGCCCACGAGATTGCCAACAAATTTAATAACACCGCTGCACTTGCCCTACCTGCATTCCACGCATTCACGGGATGCGATACGGTGTCTTGTTTCTATGGGAAAAGCAAGAAGACTGCGCTGGAGGCCTGGAAGAGTTTTCCAGAAGTCACACCTGTGTTTATCGCCTTGTCCAGAGCTCAAACAGAAATAGCCGAAGAGTGGATGTCAACCCTTGAACGCTTCGTTGTCTTACTTTATGATAGAACAAGCAGTTCTTCATCTGTAAACGAAGCCAGAAAGCAGTTGTTTACCCGTAAGGCTCGAAATTTCGACGCCCTTCCTCCGACGCGAGATTCATTACTAGAACATGTCAAGCGTACTGCATACCAGGCTGGCCACATCTGGGGACAAGCCCTCGTGCCAAACCCACCTATTCCTAGCCCACAAGATTGGGGATGGATATTGGAAAGTGGCGAGTGGCGGCCTTTCTGGACAACACTGTCAGAAATAACAAAGTCATGCCAAGAGCTAGTAAAGTGCGGCTGTAAGAAGGGTTGTAGAGGAGGCTGTGGTTGTCAGAAGGTTAGCCTAAGATGTACAGCTATGTGCAAGTGTGCTGAAGAGTGCGAAAACCGTTGAAGCCAACAATCTAAGACTCTTTTGCGATTATAAACGCTGGTCTCCGAACGAAGGGTAGAGTAAATTTTGTAAGTAGTCAATGAGACATTACATACCTGTTATTCTTAGTATTCGTATACAGCATTATAGTCCAAGAAGATTGAAGTTTAGAAATGAATCTGGACCAGAGAAACAGTAAATTATGTGTATACTGTCAGAGTGAAGATAAAATTAAAGAACACCAGCTACTAACAATCAAAGAAAGACTATCGTCAACTCGTGGGTACGTTGTTTAGAAAAGAATCAATTAGCTATCACCTCTGGTTTTCCCACAGTGAATTTTAGGAAATGATAGAAATTCATGTTATAAATATACTATCCTTGTTCTGGAAACACAATACTTTTCTTGCTGTTTATTGCACTTTAGTAACAGTTATTTAAGTATATATTTAAAAACAAAACAAAAAAAACAGCAAAACAAATAAGTAAACAAGACAAAACAAAAAAGAAAAAAAAAAGGAAGAAGGGAAAAAGAAGGTCCTTAGCAGGATTTCAACCCGGTATCTTCGGGTTGACCCAACCTCACATAGCCACTACGCCATTGAGTATGGTCACATGATTTGTTGAAAAGTCTTAAATTTAATGCCTTTTCCATGGAACTTCCGCCGGCAAACGACCGGGGCAAACGATCGAGCCATAAAAACGACTCGAAGCAATGGGATGAAATTAAGGCTAATTGAAACCAGGCTACTGACAGTAAAAAACAATGTAAACGCATTTCATGGCAATGAAAGAACATATGCGATACAAAGCCGACACAACTCCTCCGCGAAGTACGACGAAAAATATTAGCTTACGTTTTCTTATCTCGATTTCCGCTGTTATTTTAAAAAGGTAATGCTCAAACTCACATCCATTTCCCCCCTTGATCTTGGGGAGTCCTTAAGAAGAAGAAGAAGAAGAAGAGCCTTTATTTACCATACATTTCACCAGTCCGTATTTTATACGGACTGCGGACTGGGTATAAAATACGGACTAGTCCGCAGTCCGTGTTTTATACTGACCGCCAAAAATTCATTCATACACATAACCTACTACAGTAGTACAAGGTAGGAGATCAAGCCAGAGTCGAAGTTGAAGGAGTCGAAGAGCAAATGCTCATCTTCTTGTCAAGTTTAACGCCTGGACGGGTCAAAGACGTTTGAATCGTACTAATTTGAAAGATTCCTGCCTGTCTTAAATTTGGTAAGACCTCTATCCTAACCGTGCTGTAGCGCACGATGCACGCTCGCAGCGAGGAATTTGATGCTACCGAACTTCGGCGAGCGCGTGCTTCTTTGGAAACGATAGATCTTCGCGCTCTCGAGTTCGGACCCGATTAATTACGAAGTGCGTCTACTACGAGTGAGTGAGTGACTCATTTGCATATCTCAGTCCCTGCAACAACTCGTGGTACGCTCGCGCGTACCCACGAGTTAAAAATGAAGTTTGGACCCATTTCTTCGATAGTTTTGACTATGGTATTTTTAGTTCCGGTCTACTCGCGTTCATTTTAAATTTCTATCTTTTAAACTGTAATTTATCATTTTTGTACAAATTTAGCTAATATAGTGTCTTTTTATGTGGCCAAGTTGTTAATATACAGACATTTTCTAGAAAGTGTCATTTTTACTTCCGGTTCAAAATGGCCGCCGTTTTTAAACTCCCCTTTAAATGACCCTTAAGGTGGTTTTGGCGATGGCACCATATCCTATCTTTTTAAGCGCCTTGAAAACTGTCATCATGCCAATTTTCGTGCTTTTAACAGAAAGTGAACAATTCAAGCACATATCTGCGCTACTAAACGGTTTCAAACTTGCTTCTTTGAAAGGTTGGAGATCGTTCATATATTATGCTTCCTGATAGCATCACAGGACATCTTAAGGTTGCTACAATTTATAATGGCACTATCAGCCTTTAGTAATCGATCACTCCTCAAGTGTGCAGCAACCCTTTCGGGACGAGATACTCAGTCAGAAATGGAGACAGAAACATCGTGTGAAGCACAAGCATTAACACTGGAATGTTCACAACACAGACCAAGACTGTATTACACGTATTACTAAGGCTCTTCGATACTCAAGATCTCGCTGAAAAGAGCAGATAGTAAGGCAAGGTAAGTTGTCCTGGCTCGCCTTTTCTCTAACTTTTTAAGCTTAATTCCAACTTGTTTATGACGAGTTCGAATGACTGTCTCAAGTACTCAGTAACTACCATTTCAGTGAGCAATGAAACCAGCATTAACCGTTTAAAGCAAATTATAACTAAACGTGTGTATTTATTTGGCATAACCTTTCAATACTAAGCAAGCAACGAGACCATGACGTTGAAGATGATAATGTAAAATCATGTAAGGACTTTGGGGGTCTGAAGGAGTAGAATTTCCTTGTTTTGTACTGGAAAATAGGAGTTTGGTCACTGGTACTGGGAATTACTAAAAGAAAATAATGGAATTAAGAAAGGACATCTGTATAAAGTAAGCTTACATGTAATGTGATACAAACATTCTTATGAAAATTTTCACAGACTATAGAAGAACTAATAAACAGAATAGAAAAGTGTTAACAAGTGTTGAATTTGCAAGTAGGCAAAGATAATCTACGTAGTCTGGTTCTATATTTTCATGCGTCAGTCAATAACAAACCCAAGCTTCCCAATTCCCCGGGCAGTCATAGTGTCATAAGTGGTGAATAATTTAACGGCATGCATGTATTTTTTGAAGCAGATACAAAAGTTTATTTTTGATTTTAAATTACGTGGGTTTTAACTTAAATGAACAGAGAATGAATAGACATTTTCATGAGTCTTTCAATGCATAGCTAATGCAGACCATGATTGAATTAGAATGTATTTTCATGTAAGTGCCAACATAGTTGTTAACATCTTCACAGTTTCATACCTTCATCTGCAGTTCAAAGTATGATTCATTTCATATATTACCATTAATTTTAATCTTCATTGTGCACTGCTCCTATGAAATTATATTGTGGTTCTTGAGAGGATATAGTGCAGCACATACTGTCAGGAAATTGAATGCCTTACTTTTTGGGAAGCAAAGCACACAGTCATGTTAGAAACCAGAGAGTGTTCTATTTGCACCATAGTTGTATCGTCAGTAAATCTAGGTTTAAAGGAAAATAAAATTTAAAGAAACAAGTAGACTTTCTCAAAGTCGTTCGCTTGGTTTTCTGGTCTGGTGTGGTAGGACCCGGCACGAACGACGTCGAGCTTTCGCTCGCGCTTCGCGCTCACAGTCGCGCTACGCGCTCAAAAGCTCGACTTGTGAGCAAGTCTAAGAAACAAGTTGTGAACGATAAGACTGTTAAGAGAGTCATAGCAGTCATAGCTGTTTTGGATTCTCTTGTCTACATACACCATTATTAATCTGCAAATACAACTGTCTCTCTTGTGAAATGTCCCTGGTGGCAAGGAAAGAAAATAGGCTGCTTTATTTACAGGGTATACTGTACATTATTATTAGGAGGCATTGTTTTCAAGATTGAGGATAAGGGCTTTAAATGGCAAAGTGGCTTCACTCCTGTTACATTAACTAGGAACCTTGAACGTTTCGTATTAAAAAGGAAAAAAATATATTAGGTAAAGTTTCAGGAAAATTTGAAACTTTTGGGAATAAGGTGCTTATATGTTTCTATATTTTCCCTGAAAGTCTTTGGTGGAGCTCATGAGAAGGCTAGGGATGTTTATTGATTTGGAACTTTAGTCCAGGACAGGTAGAAATTTAGTTCGAAAATGTAAACCTTTGATATGACTTGTCCGTGGGACAAGCACATTTTTAATTAGAAAAATAAAGATAAGAAACAATATTCCATTTAACTTTGCCATTCCACTACCAGTCGTTTCATCCATTTGCTTTTTTACAAGCTCTGTTGTAGGTTTAATTCAAAAATAATATACAAGGGTAATAATGTGATTAAATAATGTGATTAAAAACGTTAAATGCCCGTTGCAAGCTAAACTTTTTGGACAAGAACTCTAGGTTTCGGACAACCAAATTTAATGTATTGCTTGTGTGAAGGACAAGTGGATAGGAAAATTTCTCTCTTACCAGGGTGCAAAGAAGGTGATTTTTAAAGCTTGCCATTCGGGCAAGCTGAAGCTAGCATATACTAGCCCAAATGTCATTTCAACTAGCCCCCAAACCGTTTTGATGAGCAGAATCGATTTCACAGTTCTTCGTTAATTTGAATTCCTCAAAAAAACTTCACTTGCCCATCGGGCAAGTTAAGTTCAAAATTCACTAGGTCGATAGCAAAATTCACTAGCCCCGGGCTATCGGACACTACTTTCTTTGCGCACTGCTTACTCTCTAATAATAATAATAATGTACATCCAGTGGTTTTTCATAGCACTTTACAACGATATTAATGGATGATACTTTTATAAAAATGCATACATTAAAATAAAAAAAGATATACATTGTAAAACATTGAACTCTAATAATATAATAAACCATTGTTAATAAATTTAACATATATATATGCTTCAGTCTCCCCAACTAGTAAGGCACTGTGCCTGTGTTATAAGACATGAGACTTTAATAAAGTTCATTACTATTATTATTATTATTATTATTATTATTATTATTATAGGGTTTCCATGTAGCATTTTACCCTGATTTTCACTCAACTGCAAGTAGGGTTCTGAATGTAAATATTATTGCCTTTAAGGAAAGCCTTTAACTCATACTAGTCAAACATTTTGAATCTTTAACAGTCAGATGAATCTTATTCAGTTGTGTGAATTTGTGGACATTGAAATCATTTGCTACTCAGGTTTTGCACTGTTATTAGACCACTTGTGGAAAATGCCTTATCATTTTTTTCAAATTTTTAGTCTTGGTTTGTGAAAAGAGGCATGTGGGGAACCCTGTGTCAAGTAAAATTGTGCTGATTGTAGTAATTTGGCCATGAGTGTAGGAAAAAATATTATTAATTAGTAATAGCAGGCGGTGTCCTCTGGCAACTTAGGGGGTGTTTACATGACACCGGGGCAACTTTTACCCGTTCACTTCGGTTCCCTCTCATAGCTCTATATTTGTTTACATGATACCACCACAAAATGTCATGCAGGCGCGAGTCACCCCAGCGTGAGTTCACCCCGGTTCTTGTACCGGGGCGAGAATTTCACTCTGGTACAAAATCTCATGGCAGTATCATGTAAATGCGAAACGACCACCCGTTTCGGCATGAAATCGGTCTGCCGGTAGACTGGAATGGGTAGCGCACGCGTAATGTTTGCTATTTTGTATCACACTTGTATTTTATCAGCATAAAGTGTACCTTCAAATAACGAGATATGAAATGACTCAGTCATAATGTAAACCCGATACAAAATCAAAAAGTCATCCCGGTATGAGACTCGCGCCGGTGTGAGTTTTCTCATGTAAACACCCCCTTACTGTACATGTACTTGTGCCTTTAGTGCGCGATTAAGTGTATTATCACTAGCCTACAAATAATCTGTGTAGTTTACTCAAATAATACTTGCTTTCTATTTATTCAGCAGATCAGCCTGGTATGGGATGTTGGTGACAGAAAGTCCTCTCAAAGCAAACAGGATTAATACATGTTAATTACAAGCCTTAGTCTTGTAAAGTGGTTCCAGGGCTGTCACTAAGGGCCATAAACCAGACTTTAAATCGGCTACTTTGAGCCCAATACTTGGCTGTTTTGAGAGGAAACGAAACTTTCCACATTTTCAATGTCCTGCTCACTAATTTCACTTAAACCCTGCAACTTGCAATCTTAGTGACAGCCTTGTGCATCTAACTTTTACATCATCAGTTTATGAAAATGATTTGTTATTTGGATTTTGTTGTTAAGTTTGACTGTAAACACTTCTGGGAGTGAAAGGGCTAAATCAAGAAACCATCAATGTTATACATGTATTAGGCTTTCAGTCTTTTTATTTCTTATCTAAAATTGTTTAGGCTTTTAATTTGAATTATGCTAAATTATACTAAATATTTTCATTTTGGAAGAGACCATTTTGACCCACCTTTACATTAATTTGCGTGTTAGAGTTGCTGTTTTTTTATCAAAATTTAACTTCATCAGTTTTCTTGTACACCCTGTACCTTACATGTAAATGCTAATAATTATTTCAAACTATAAATCATCTTCATTTGGTATAATACTAAGTTAAGATGATTTTTTTTGGATATTTCGAGAAGACTGTTTTGACCCATTTGAAAAGTTTATGTACACTGTATCTTCTTATTTAAACCTTACGTGTTGGAAAAATTTTCGTTTTTTTTTATTTTCAATGTAATGACAAAGATGCTAACACAGAAATAAATCATGTTATATTTAGAAAATTCAGTTTTAGAGAATCAGTGTGTTTTGTTTTTTAAAACCTTGTAATATCATTCTTTGCGGGACTAAACTTAAAGAATGCGATTCGTATTTGCAGCTTTTGCAGTTACAACAATGTGGCATACCTGGCGATTTTCATGGGATTTGAAATGTAAAAATAAAGATAGGCAATTTGAAAATTGGTTATGGTAATGCAAAATTGGAAATGGAAAGGGGCCCTATTTTTTAAACTACCACTTATTCAAAGTTCATCTACTGGTTAAACAATATAACTCCATTAAAGCAAGTTATAACTTAATAGTAGGGATGACTAATGTCAGTTTGAAGTTGGGTTCTTATTTTTCTATAGGTCTATTGGGTTCTCAACGCTTTATAACTTTTCGTTTTTGTTGTCAGTTTTGAAGAATAAAAACAAAATTTCTGGCCTAATCCTTTAACTGTGTGTTGAAGTGTTGTTACATATTAGGGTATTTTATTTTGTGTCGAAACTTGAATTGAGGATTACTCATACAATTATTTGTAATGTATATATGAGTAATCCTCCATGGCTCCAGATTGTAAATACTATGGAGAGATGATGGGGAACCAAAGAAAATAACCGGTATCAAGTACATAACAAAATCCAATGTTTGTGTGACATGGACAAAAATAAAATTTTGATGGTTAAAAGTTTGTTAAGAAAAATTTACCGATTACCATTATATTTCCCTTTATTTTTAAAGTTTCCAGTGTGTTTATGTGTATATATATATGGCGTAAAGGAGCTTGTATTTTCGCTTTACACAAGCTTAAAGTAGGGTTTACACAAGCTTTACGCAAAACGTAAAGGTGTTGCGTAACGTTTTTGTTTCATTACGCCAGCTTTATATGTACGCGTAAAGATGCCGTAAAGCTGAACTTTACGTAGAGTAAAGGAAGCGTAAAGTTGTGTAAAATTCAACTATACGCTGACTTTACGTTGTCATTACGCTCACGTAAATTTGAATTTTCATGCTGTGATTCCTTGTAAAAAAAATTATGTACATCATCATGATGAACTTGTTTGCAGGCTACTAGCAGAGAGCGCCCTCTGGGAGTTCCTCGTCCCCAGGTAACTCTAAAAACAATATAGGAAATGTCAGTGCAGGGGTCAACAAAATAGATACGTAAATAAATAAAATAAGTAATAGTAATGATAATAATAATAATAATATGCTTTTGGTATCTGTGATCAAATGGAGACGAGTGAAATTTTTCTCTAATTTCACGAATAAAACATTTGATTACGTATTAATATTAAATTACGCTCACAATCGTAGGTTTTAGTTATGTTTATCAAATTGGTTATTGATCGAGATTTTCACGCACTGAAAACTTTAGAGCTTAGTTAAATTTAGGCTTTAGTTCACAATTTTCAGAATTTTTCGACAAAATACCTGACAGAATCCTTCTTTATGTGCTCTTTCGTGCTTTTACGTTTTCTAAAGCGGCTTTTAATGCCCTGACATCTTCATTCATTTCACACGTGAAATTATAAATTAACACTGAAATTTGGGGCCAAAATTAAGGTCGAGTAATTTGTCACCCATGATATTACGAGTGCAATTCAATGTTTATTGTTTTCCCACTGAAAATCGTAATTTTTCCCGGACTATTAAAACTGAGGGAAGGTTAAAAGCTTACCAAGAAGTTCGTACACTCTTCCGCCAGTTGCTGCATGTTCCTTTTATAAGAAAAACAATATAAACGACTAGTTGGCTATCTATGCATACCAGAAATTTTGGTTCTGAAAAAAACGTCCGGGATGAAAATTCGCATTTCAAGCACCCACACGCATTGGCGGTAAACCGCTTGTCCACCCCAAAAAACATCAACTAAGGCGAGTCTTTTTTTCGACTGCATTTAATGTGTACACTGACGTGATAACAGAGAAAGAGCTAGAGCAAAAGATAAAAAACAAGGGAGACGAATTTCGTTGGAATAACGGTATGAAAATTTTTTTAGCAGCGGCCAGAAAATGAGAAATGCTAGCGACCAGCAGGGTGAAAGTGAGCGGCAGTGAGAAAAAAAAAGCGAAAAAGAATTTCGTCCATAAAACGTGTATATTTTTTTTTTTCGCTTATTAGACCCATTGATCTTTTTGCCGTTCTCGTTGTTGCAGTCGTTTAGCATTACACGATTTCATTTTTTGTTTGAGTAAAATACAGGTATATCAAGGGGAGCTTCACTTTTAGCCCTGCCTAAATCTATATATTAACGTTGCATGTCTTGACCATATAGCCTGTTCTAGGCATTCAGATAGTGCAGTTTGGGAAGAGGTCAGACAGAGCGGGAAAAAAAATAAGAAGGAGGAGAGGGAGAGGAGAAAAAGAGGGAACCCTCCCTCGCTCTCACTCCCTACACTCGTTTTTCCTTAAACGAAAAGCACTGGGGACGAGTTTGTTGATTCACTGCAATACCTTCAAACTTCAAGCCGATCTAAGTCCACGAAACGGTCAAAAAATCTGCGTTAACATATTCACTGTTTGGCCGGACACTTTGGTATTCTTTTTTAATTAATGCGCACTTTACATACCTCCATCACTGGTACGTTCACTCTTTCGCCATCTCCTTCACGTTCCTTTTATTAGAAAAACAATATAAGTGAATTGTTATAACGTTGCCCGTCTTGGCTACTACTAGGACGTTTTGCTATTTTTTTTTGTTACTTAATGCGCACTTTACATACCTCCATCACCGGTACGTTCACTCTTTCGCCATCTCCTTCATGTTCCTTTTATTAGAAAAACAATATAAGTGAATTGTTATAACGTTGCCTGTCTTGAACTTTACATTTTGCTATTTTTTTTTGTTAATTAATGCGCACTTTACATACCTCCATCACTGGTACGTTCACTCTTTCGCTATCTCCTTCAAGTTCCTTTTGTAAGAAAAACAATATAAGTGAATGGTTATAACGTTGCATGTCTTGACTAATACCTGGAAGTGTTGCTTTTTTTCTTTTTAAGTAATGCACACTTTATATACCTCCATCACTGGTAAGTTCCCTCTTTGACCACCTCCTTCACGCCCCTTTTATAAGAAAAACGATATCAGTGAATTATTATAACGTTGAATGTCTTGACTACTCCTTGCACGTTTGTATCTTTTGAATGTTGAACATTGACGATATTTTTAATATTTTAACCCGCTGCTTTTATGCATCCATTTGAATGTTTTATAGTACTATATTCATAAAGTTTTGCTTAATTACCTTCAAAACAAAACAAATAAACAAGTAAATAATCACTTCTGAGTTGAACAGCTCTACAGGTTTTAGCGAAGATATCGTTGTGACGAAATCAAGTTATCAAATGTTAGACGTTTTATCATTTTGTGATCGGTAGGCGGCTTAACCTTCTCCAATAAAGATGAAAAAAGTACAATGAAGCATTCCGGGTTTTTCCTTTTTTTTTGACACCCCTACGCGAAAAAACTTTAAATCAATTCTCGTACTCGTAGTTGTTCTCGTCCTCGAATCTGAAGGTCCCTATTACCCTCTAGTGCAAACCTAGCTTAACTGTAGCTTTTTTAAATACAAACCTCATAATCACCGTCTTGTTCTTCTTCAAATTCTTCGTTGAACGGGTTATCCTCCCTAAAAACGTCTACAATGTTTTGCAACATCTGAAATTTCAAAGAGGGAATCACAAGTCTGTAATATGCTAAAATACATATATAGCTATGAGTGGGTTCATTTGCAACATGGGCGTATAGCTGTCTCATTTGCCCGCTGGAATTTTTTTATTGTTTTTAAGCTTAAAAACAATGAAAAATTCCAGCGGGCAATGAGACAGCTATACGCGTATGTTGCAAATGAATCCACCCTATAAATATAATTAAAAATTGCAGCATGAAACACGCGCATCGTGTCAATTTCAAAATAAACTTAAAAGGGCAACGACAAAGGGAATCATTCAATATGACTAACAACACAAAAACATGATGGAAAAAATTATGATTAAAAAAATTCCACGCTTTGTGTCCTTAGTTAAACACCTTATCCTCAAACGCCGGACATAGTGTATAACAAAATATTATTCATTCAAAATATTTCTCCGTTTCTGATTGGCTCAAATTCCACGGCTTATTCTTCATGACCAGCCACCGCTGTCCAAATTTGGAAGATGTTCTCCGAAATCAGTAAAACTGACGTCAATAGTACATATATCGATACAAAGGAAAAGGACAGCAGAAGACGCGGTAGGTCAGCTGTTTGGGAAAAGCTGGAAAAAAAGAGGAAGATTTATAAGAAGAAATAGAAAGAAATAGCCGAACTACTGCCTAAAAACACAGCAAGAAAAGCAAAAATACCACTAAACGGATGACAACAGCTATTTGAGCAATGCCTCCTAGAATAAACATCCCTTCATAACCTGAAACTGCCGAAGAACGGGCAAATGCTAGAAGAAGGTAAGCATGGTGTGTTTCAATACGGTTTTTTTCGGAGACCATACCGGTATTTTGAAGGTCGCCGGAAACACCTTAGGCGCATTGTTATGCATTCATTTAAAGGGTATGCACGAAGTAAAACGACTGCATGATATCGACAGGTTTACCAGATCTTCATAACTGGATAAAAGATGAGCGCATAATTTAAATTTGTTCACGTGCACGAGTGGAACGCAGACTACGAAGAAAATGCTTACTCAAAAGAAACAAACGGGTAGCCTGTGTACAGACGCCCCCTCCCCTGGGCTCTGAATCAAACCTTGTTTCGGTGATTTTTATTAATAAGGAAAGAAAAATAGGGAAATCTTCACAAATTTCAACCAAATATAACACCAAACTCTCTGTACGTTTTTTTTTTTTTTCGCCACAAAAATCCATGAAAACATTGCAGCTTAAGCCCCGTGCAAACGGACGCAAGATTGTTGGCCAAAAACTCCCAACATTTTTGGATGTTACATGTTGTGTCCGTTTGAACAACCTGTTGCACGTTGTTGCAAGTTGTTGCGCAAAGTTTGAAACCGATCAAACAAAAGCACGCAACATTGTTGGCCAAAAAATCCCAACATTGTTGGGAGTTGTTGCGTCCGTTTGCGCGTAGCTTTATGAACAAAATTAAAGCGTGGAATGTAATTAACCACAATACATTGCTTGGAACTCGTGCTTTAGTCGGAACACCTTCGGGTGTCTCAAAATGTGACTTTTCCGACAATTTTGTGCCCAAGAATTCAGCGCAGATACAACAATTCACGAGCTGGCACTGCAGAGGGGTAAACTTGGTAGACTGTAGTGTGTTATGTATTGAACGGAATTCTAAAAGAGCGCTTTTATAAAAAGATATAAGGCGTTAATTTCAGGGATCACAGATTTTGTTCACTTAAACGATTACATCTTGCTGGCAAACTTTAAATTGCAACATCTGGTCAATACATAACACACTAGAGGTTTTCACCGATCATTTATTGATAAAATCTCAGGGTGCTGTGTTCAATTCTTTACGCAAACTTGGACACTAAATCACGATTTCCATGTGGCTTAAAGCATCTACCAAATAAAAAACGACCCTCCTAAACTTCCATCATTTCACAATATCTCTGTAAAATTTTATCTAAATCGCCTCTAAAAAAGCCGAAATATAAGCGTTTTAAAAGATGTAGCACAAGCAAAATTTTGCCTCATGAATTTATTCACAGCTAGATAGGCGTCCCCTGCGGAAATATTTTGAATGAATAAAACATAACTATTGGATTCGGCTTTTGAATGACATATATAATTATGCAGGTGTTATCGCCTCGGCGGATAAAAACTTCCCTTCTCGATCTGCGTAATTCTTCATATCATATTCAGCCCCCTACAATAATTGCTAAATATTAAATATCTTGACGTTCTTGACTCGAACACTGGTGGACAGCACAGGGCTCGAAAAAAATCCCGTCCGGCAGTCCGGGACAAGTAGGTTTTCTTGCCGGGCAAGTACCTTTTATAACTTACTTTTAATTGCCAAATGGGCAAGGGACCAAGGAAGTCATCCTCTGACAGTTTCATTGACTAAGACGAGGAATAAGTGTCAACAAGCATGCACAATGTGATAGCTGCTTGCCCATAGGGCAAGCTGAAATTCAATTATTTTTCAAGCCCTGCCAGATGTAAAGTTATTCAGTAAATAAATCACTATCCAGCGGATAAGTATCAGAAAACCCGCTTGTCCTATCCACTGGATGGAGAATAATCCAATGGAGACCATGATTAACCTTTGAACGAATTGATGAAACATGAACACTCCTGCTCGTTCATCAAACGGTAGCTTTAAACTCTATCACGAACAGTCAAACAAAAAGAAAAGGTTGACTAAATTACCACCACTTCCGTTGTTAAACCATAAGGCTGCCTACAGAGAGGGCAAGAAGTTTCATTTCCTCGTTCCCTAAAAGGAAAAAATGGCAATACATTAATATTAGTCTTGCTCAGTTTACAGCTTACAATGTGTAATTTGCTGCACACTTTAAAGGCATAAGAGAAACTGCGGTTATATCAATATCGCATCACCTGGCTGATAAATTTGCCTATTTTCACCACGCATCTGTTGGGCAATGGATTGGATATTCTAACCCATCACTTCTGCGATTACACCTGCGATGATCATATCTATTTATTTAGATAGATACATCTGTTGAGTAATTCACACTACCCAATGTCCAAATCCTTCGTCCACATCTGGATCACGTATACACTACTTAAGCTTTCTTTCTTCCACGTATGTTTGCAGCTGGTGGTATCGTCCAGTTATGAAGAACCGAAAAATGTAGTTTACTTCTAACTAGTTTCAAGTCAGTAACGGACCTTTCCCAGTGGAGTTTTAAGTGTGCTCATAGCCAGAAATCCTAGACAGTCAGCGGCCTGACCCGCGGGCACGTAAATTTCGGTTTTCAATATGGCAGATGTAATGATGGCAATTAAAGCAATAGTTAACAGTAAACACTACATTTAATGTCTCTAGGTAATCCCTAGTTTATGCTAACAATGTCTCTACTAAGTAAATTATGAATGCTAAGTAAATAACTTCTTGGGACAATGTAAGACATGGCATAATAAATATATATTTACTTCTGCGTAGCGCGAAGTAAAGGATTCGCGACGCTCAGGAATGTTTCAAAGTTGCTTCCGGATGTCCCGAAGTTGCTTCGGAATTAGTTCGTGATATCTTCGAGTTCTATGATTTATTTTTTTTCGCATTTATTATTCTGGCTAGAAATGTTGACTGCAAAAGTATTTTACAGAACATATTGAAGCAATTTGGGCTAGTAGATTCAAAATACGAGCGAAAATCGAGATACAAGAGCAATTTTCAATGCGTTTCACTTCGCAGAGGAATCCGCTCATGTCCTGTCGGGCGATATGTTTCTCCAAAGTACGTTTCAGTTTGGCTTTTTACCGTCGAAACATTGTCTTTTACCCTGAAATCTAGCTTGATGTTTCTTTTACACCGTGGAAAATCCAAATGTACTAGTTTGCCGGTTAAATTCCCCGCCGATAGATCAAAGTTTCAGTTCTGTGCATGTACCACGACCCGAAGAATAATTTTCATGCGAACTGTACTGGCGCGTTTGTATTTTTTTTCTAAATCCAGCGGCCGAAATAATGCTAAATATGCTTTTCAATACACTTTAAAAATAACACCACTCAATTGGCAAAAAAGAAGAAGAAGAAAAGAAACAACAAAGTAGCGACCTTCCCGACGATATTCGCGGTGGGATACCCATCCAGTTCCTAATCCCACTCGACAGGGATTAACTTGAGTGGCGCTACTAAAAAAACCGAGTTTCGCGAGATACGTATTTCTGGTTGCGGGCGACAAGAGGAACCCCCAGCCTAATCTTGACTAGGTCAGCGGCACTTTATTAACTGTATAACGAGATTTTTCTCGATCTGTCCACGTTCTTGACATTCCCGCGTTCTTCCGAATAACATGCTTGGTACGTGGCTGCAAAGGCCCTGGTATTGAGTTTAAGGTCTGTGTGATTTCATGGTAATCACGTGAATGCACATACAAGTGATGCAAGCACACGTAATTCAGGTACTTAAGTACTGTACTAAATGGGAGACTAATCGATTCTCCTTGCCGGCCTGGAATCTATTTACCCAGGAAAATGAAACTGAGTAGAGCCTGATCTCAGCTTAGTGGGGGACAAGGTTTCGGTAAGATACGAGTGTTAGCGAAGTGTAGAAATCGATGTAAGTTTATTCAGGTATCACTACAGTGCATGGTTTTTACATTTTTATACGTTTCCGAGCATGTTACGTCGTTTGTCATCCGAGCGAAAGATTCAATAAGCTTTAAACTCCAATGGTAATTTAAGCTATTTCATTATTTTCTATTGCATATCAACAGCCTTTAGTCATTGAACACAAATTGAATATTCGATTGAGTTTAAATGAGATTTTGTGCAGTCATGACTGTAAACATGCATTACATGTGTCACGCGTTACTGTTTCAATGTATCTTTGCCAGCGAATACAGCCGTCTCCTCGCTCCTCACCATTCGCAGGCTAATTGTAACTAAGCAAATGTGAATAAAATCGTTGAATTAAATACGAGTCTTGTTTACTGTGTTGTTCAGTCCAGTTTTCATGATCGGCAGTGATATCCTTGTGTTGACAATGGAACTAAACGGGCTTAC